CTGTGCCCCCGAGGTCTGCAGCGCCGCCCTGCTGCCCACAGGCAGGCCTCTCCCCCGTACACACACACACGGATGTTCCCTTTTTTCAATATGCAAGCAGCTTATTGCCCTGCCCAAACCCTTAACTGACACGGGCCTTTACGAACCTTAATGACACTTAAAGCAACAGAACACTAGAGAATCGAGTCTCCTCACTCCTTCTCTGCCTCTCTCTCTCTGATCTCTCCTCTCTCTCTTTTTCTCTCTCTCTGCTTCATAACAGAAAGAACTTTTGCCACAAGCCCAACCAGGACGCCCTTCTGAGCCGATGGAGGGGAGGGCTGGCCGCCCCCGTAGCCCCCTCTTGCTCCCACGCACACCTGCCTGTCCCCGTGGGTCCTTCTCTAACACACGTTGCAACGGCATTTTTCCTTTTTAAAAACTGTACCTTCAGCGTTTTTAGGGACACACGGCATTTACCAAGGGCCATCGTTCATCCAAGGCTGTTGCTGTGGTAACGCTGCCAAATTCTGCCAAAACCCGGGACTCCGTCCCTCGCACCTGCCCCCCTCGCCCGCCCCCATTTGCTGGTGGCGGGCGTGTGTGCCGTCTCCGGTCACTCCTGTGACAGCCACGCGGGCGGTGCCCTCCATCCCGTCGTTCCCGGGGATTCTTGGCAAGTCTCACGTCCACGCAGGTCAGTTTGCCTTTGACCAGGTTATTCTCGGGGGGAACTGGACGGACAGGGCCGGGCTTCCCTGGGCCACCTCCCCACACCCACCTCTTAGCCCAGGGACTCTGCCACAGACAGGCCCTTTGAGGGAGCAAAGGTGGCTCACATGCTAGTCTCCTGCCCACCCCCCAGAGCCCTCCCGGCCCCCAAGGACGCAGAGGAGCAGGGGTTCCCCGGGACAGGGCCCAGCGGTTCACGCAGGTTTGCAAGCAAAGCAATGCAGACACCTCCCCCCACCACCACCCCTCCCCCATCTCGGGGAGGGCAGTGCGGGATGCAGGCCGCCCGAGCCTTTGACATGTCCCGTTCCCAGGACTCCGCGGGTCCTGCGGTTCTAGGTCAGACGCGACACATTTGCGTACACATTCGTCTTTCACGTCATCACTTTGATAACTTTTTTACGGTTCAGATCCTCATCTATACATCTGTACAGAAAAAAAAAAAGACGGCTGCTATTTTTATTTTGTAGTTTTCGGTTATCTTTGTGGATCTATTCTATGAAAACTTTCAGGTCTCCCTCCTTCCCTCTCCGCTCTCTCTCTCTCTCTAAGCTTCTGCTTTGCGACTAGATGCGTCTCTTCCTCTCTCCCCAGGAATGGGCTCCCATAGATCGGCGTCTGCCGTGAACTGCCTGTGATGCCTTTTCATAACTCCGCACCCCCGCTCTCTGCTCCCTCCCCCTCGGCCCCCCGCTAGATCTGTTACAACCTGTAGGCTCTGTGGGCACCAGGCTGGCTGGCGAGGGAGGCGGCTTTTAATACTCTAAATTCCTATCAAAACTAATAATCAATGTTTTCTAGGCAGATATCACAAGTTCCTGCTCTGGGTTGATATTATTCTCAGTGGATATTTAATCCTTCCATCCTACGAAAAACAGCTGCTAAATCTAAGGGTGCAGTGGGGGGTGGTCAGTGGCGAGCCGCTGCCACCCTCCAGACCGACCTACCTGTCTGTCCTGAGAACCAGGAAACCCCCAGAAACCCCCTCCCTCCACACGGGGCGCCAGGGGCTGCTGGGAGCGGGCCAGGATGGCCCAGGAGCCCCATGCTCACCCCAGGGGGACCAGGGTCCTGGCACGCTTGCCCTGGGCCGGGAAACAAGTCCTCAGGGCCCCGGCATCTTTTGTTTCGGTTTTTTTGTTTTGTTGGGGTTTTTTAGCGCTTCTCACCAGAGCGATGGACATATGACCGCACAGAGATGCTTCTGGGATGGAAACGTTTAAGTGATGAGTGAGAACAAAGCTCACGTAGGGTGATGGCTAGTCGGGATTGGAGATGAAACACCAGGAGGAAAATTCGGAGTCGTTTCAGCCCCAGGATTGTCTCTGGCCCCCGGCCCCACCGTTTCTTCCCCTTCAGAAACCGCGTCCAAGAAAAGTTCATTGAGAAGGTGTATGTAGGCGTTTCCATTTGATTTCCGATTCCGGTTTCAGTCGCTGAGAGAGCAGCTCGGCCCCCCTGATGGATTTCGATTCTGACACGAGGGTTTCTGTGCGTAAGAAGGGACGTAATTTTTATGTTTTAATTCTCGGGTACAACAGCAGTTTGAACTGCAGATACTAGTCATTTGAATTACATTTCTTTTTTTTTAGTGGATATTTAATCCTTCCATCCTACGAAAAACAGCTGCTAAATCTAAGGGTGCAGTGGGGGGTGGTCAGTGGCGAGCCGCTGCCACCCTCCAGACCGACCTACCTGTCTGTCCTGAGAACCAGGAAACCCCCAGAAACCCCCTCCCTCCACACGGGGCGCCAGGGGCTGCTGGGAGCGGGCCAGGATGGCCCAGGAGCCCCATGCTCACCCCAGGGGGACCAGGGCCCTGGCACGCTTGCCATGGGCCGGGAAACAAGTCCTCAGGGCCCCGGCATCTTTTGTTTCGGTTTTTTTGTTTTGTTGGGGTTTTTTAGCGCTTCTCACCAGAGCGATGGACATATGACCGCACAGAGATGCTTCTGGGATGGAAACGTTTAAGTGATGAGTGAGAACAAAGCTCACGTAGGGTGATGGCTAGTCGGGATTGGAGATGAAACACCAGGAGGAAAATTCGGAGTCGTTTCAGCCCCAGGATTGTCTCTGGCCCCCGGCCCCACCGTTTCTTCCCCTTCAGAAACCGCGTCCAAGAAAAGTTCATTGAGAAGGTGTATGTAGGCGTTTCCATTTGATTTCCGATTCCGGTTTCAGTCGCTGAGAGAGCAGCTCGGCCCCCCTGATGGATTTCGATTCTGACACGAGGGTTTCTGTGCGTAAGAAGGGACAGTTTTTATTTTTTTGGGTTTTGATTTTTTTTTTCAAACATGTATCTACCTCACACTTCTTTTTTATATGTGTATATACAACAAGGAATACATCTCACATTTCTCAGCACCTGACAATACGCCATGGGTACCGTACCTCAGCCACGCACAGGCCGCGCACGCCCGTGACCCGGGCCAGGCCGGGCTGCATTCCGGGTGCTCCCCCGCCTCTCGCTCCTGTCCAACGGCTTGCCTCTCCCTGCGCTGTCTCCTCTGGCCTTGCTCTCTTCTTCTTCTGACTCGGTTCCCTACGAGGTTGTGAGGTGTCAGGATTCCCCCCTCTTGGCCCAGTGTCCCCCACTCAGCAGGGAGGTGAGGGGGAAAGCCCCCCCCCAAACCCCCCAGCAGCTCAGTGGGAAGGAAGGCCCCTCGGCTGTCCCAGCCGGTTGTCCTTGAACCCAGTTGCTTTGTGCGGACGGATTGGCGAGCCCATTCCGTCCCTGGAGCAGTGGTTTCGGGATTTAGGGGCCAGGAGGCGGCCAGGGGCGGCCGTCTCTGTTAGCTCTCACCTGCTAGGCACGGGTGGGGGCCGGCTCCATCGGGCGCCACGCTGGCTGCCCTGGACGGGGCCTGTGCCAGGCGGCCAGATGGTCCCTGTGAGCCAGGCACTCAGAGGGCCCCGTCCACCAGGCCTCCTGTCGAGAATAGGAGGTTCCTACCTCCCAGCCAATCCCTTCCAGAATGTTCTGTGGAGAAAAGTCCCCATCCCCCCCATCTCCAGAATGTTCTCTGAATTCCCCCCTCCTTTCCTCCTCCCTTTCAGGGGGAAACAAAGATGTACCAAGCCTTCGGGCTGGAGGGGGGCGGTGCTAGGCGCCAAGCCGCCTTCTGGGGTGTCGGGGTGTCGCACCTCCCACCAGGCCTTGCCTCTGTCCCGCTGCTCACGGGGGTGGATGGCGTTACCCGGTTCCAACAGCTGCTCTCAGGCCCTGGTGATGTGATCTGGGCGACACGACTCGGGGAAAGCGTTCCGAAAAGTTGGGGGCGGCTCTCCCCTCCCGCAGGGACACCCCTCCCCTCTCCCCCCGCCCTTGGGACCTCGAGGTCACCGAAAAATGCTATCTGATGGGGGTTCCCCTCACCCACGCTGCCGGGGAACCCCCCGGGTTGGTGGCCTCCCCTCTTTTGCACAAACCTTCCGGTTCCCACGACTGGACGCAGTCCAGTCCATCCAGGTGGTCCCAAGGGTCTCTCTCGTTCCACGCGTCCAAGCTGTTGGTGTGGTCATGTTATCGTTTGACGTCGGTGGTTTTTCTTTGAGTAGAAAGCAAACACTAACCAGTCGTAGTGCGCATCGTAACCAATGCTTCCGCGGCGCTGCAGTTAGAGAAACAAACGCTTGCTTGCGTGAGGGTGCGGTCATCCTACTGGACCAAGCCACCCCGGGACCCGCCCGCGAGGCCGGGGTCCCCGCCTCCCCTTGATTTTTTTTTTCTCTTTTGTATGCTCCGAATAATTCACTCGAGCCGAACTGGGGCATTTCCCACGCGGTCTCCTCCCGCCAGCAGCTCCCGCTGCTCGAAGCCGCTCGGACCACGGAGGCGCATCATGGAGCCGATGTGAGCGTCCG